ACAGAAAATATCTTCAAAATCCATTTTTGTGATTTATTGTTTATTATGTATACTAATATAAATATATACTACACAGGTTTAATGCTATAGTAAGTCTCAGATTTATGCTATTTACATATATTCAAAAAAAATATAAAACTATAATAATTCATCAAGTTTTTCCAAAAAATTATTTTGTTTAAGAATCAAAAATAATTTTTTTTTTTATGAAATAAAATGTTTAAAAATAATAGAGTTTGAAAGTATTCTAGTCAATATAATAGATATCAAAATAAATGTCTGTAAAATAATGTAAGTTTTCATTAAAATACATTTTTTTTTGTATGTTGCAATAGCGATTTTTTAAATTACTATTATTTGATACTAAAAGTATTAAGTTTCATTAAATTTCTATATAAAACCAATACCTTTAATGTAACTTAATTATTTTTTACTTCTGTAATGGATTTTGACGTTGTAAGCAATTGAAATTTTTGACTGGTAAAATAAATTTAGGCAGAGTTCACTTAATTACAATTTGAAATAATTTTAATAAGCGTAGTACGTATTTTTAAATTAGCAATTCGAGAGTTAAATATTATCATAAGTTAAATAGTAACAAACAACATGACCGATTCACCGCGATAGAACACTGCTAGCTTCGATCACGAATGGTGTGTGAGTTAGGTCTAAGCTTAGCGGCTGTTTTTCCTTTTACTCTCATTGTGAGCTACTTCTACTATTTCGCATTAGTGTTTCTAATGGCGTGTTACATAAGTATTTTATACTTTGATATAAACTACTAATTTATTGAGTGTGGAGGTTGCAACCAAAACCGACCAAAACAGAGACAATAATTTTTCATCTAAATAATAAACAAGCAGCTACTGAATTGAAAAGCAAATGCGATGGACATTATATATGTCATAATGAAAACTCAAAATACTTAGGTATTACCTTAGATCGTACCTTCATATTTAAACAACACCTAAAAATATTAGAACAAAAAATAAATAGAGTTAAATCCAGTAGTCCGTTAATACAGAATTAATAGTAAATATGTATCGAAAATCAATGTTCAACTAAATAAGACAATGAGAATCATATCTGGAACGCTGAAGATGACTTCTCTTTCATGGCTTCCTATGATGGTTAATAAAACGCCTCCATCTCTGAGACGAGAAGAGGCATTAAGAAAAAAGAGATAAAAACTCAAATTTTTATAGTCAATCATTTTATAGGGACATTATGAATTTACCAAGTATGAGAAGTCACGTATCCCAACTAGTAAATTATGGATGATCACAGTTGTGGTATAGTGGATTGCCTGAAAGAAGCGTAGAATACTAGTAAATCTTTAAATTATGACCTTTTATCTCAGCCAGAACAAAGATTACCAGGTTTTTATTTGCCCAAGGAAAATTTATTTAAGGAAAAAATAGAGTACTCTAAAACGCTATAGGTGTGGCCAAGGATGATCCAGTCACATCATATCGAAATGGAATCTGACTCAGAATACTCGGTGTGAGTGTGGATATTCGAACCAAACAATGAACCACATAACTGAAGATTGTCCCGTTTATTCATTCAATAAGAGACTTCATGGTCTTCACGTATTGAAAGAAGGGGCTATTGAATAATTAAATAACCTAGATATTGAAATTGTCAGTCTCAAATCAGAACTAATAGTTATCAACAACCACATTTTTTTTACTTAAAATTGCCATAACTCTTTTAAAAATGACCGAATCAATATATTTTTTTTTTTTTATAGATACCTTAAGTATTTACCTATCATTTTATATATTTTTGTAAACATTTGACCCTTTACCAGCCCAAAGGAAGGGTTTCAAAATGGTAACTCTTTTACAAAAAATTAACTTTTTCAACTTATCTTTTGAAAATGTTCTGGAAAGACTGACACTTTTATATATATCTTAAATTAAAGCTTAAGTAATATACTTTAATTTGAAAAAAAAAAATTGACCTCTGGACTTGTCTTCGTGATGAAAATGGACATCAAAGTTTAAGAATAACGTACAATTTCGGTAAGAAAATTCTCAATTTTATTTTTTACATTTTTATCTTTATAATGCTATAACTTATTGAAAAGTGTATGGATCAACAGAATTTTTTTATGAGAAATAATATTTTTTAATAATCCCTCTTTCATTCGACATACTTTATCTTAATCAGGATATTAATAAGGAACTAGCAGATCATGTAGCTTTTAAAATAATCCACCAATTTTTTAAAATTAAACACTATCTAAAGATTTGCATTGAAGCTTTTTTTATAGATAGTGATTTTAATCACTGTTAGATATCATTATACTTGATCCAACTATGCCACGTCACTACTGTGCCGCGACCCCCCTGTGCTGGGTTTTTTTACTCTATTTGTGTGTGCTACTATTAGACCATAATATTCCAAATTTTTTGGTAACATGTTTCTATATAAATCATTTCTAAAAAAAATTATAGTCAATTTCTCCTGAATTAACGATGGATTTATACAATTATAATCAAATATTATAATACGCTCAATTGAGTAAATCTTTTTAAACATTTTTTTTATATTGGTTCTTTTTAGTTATAGTAAATCATTAAAATTAATTCAGTTCTGGATATTTCAATTGTTGAATCTTTTTAAATACCATAAGTTACTTAGAAATGATTACTATGATTTCTATTTAAGTGTTCTATTACGATAAAAATGCAAAGAAATAATGAGTTTTTCTGATAAATATACTGTAAATAGTAATTATAAAATTTCCTGACTGCATTTCAATCTTAAAAATAGCATTGTTTTAATTCTCATAAAATTTTCTATTTAATATTGTCAATTGCAAACTTGTAATTGATCTAAAAATGATGGTAACATATTCAATTTTTTTTACTATGAACTTTCACAAAAACTTTTCATCAACTTTAAAGGACCATAAAAATAGGTTAAAAATGAGATTTTGGACTGATTATTTTTAATATAATAAAAATCAAAATCAGTAATAATTTGAAAACAAATTTTTTTTTTTTTTTAATTATTATTTTATATGAAATTAGTAATAATATAAAAAATTAGAAGTGATAGAAAAAGTCTAATTGCACATTTGAAAACAGCGCGAAAATTACGAATTATTTGTGCTATGTAAGCTTATTTGTTATTTAATTTAGATAATAAATTTTTTTAAAAGGTATAAAATAATATAAGCACTGAACGTTTAAATATATAAGGAAAAATAAAAATCTATAGTAAAAATATTTATTAGATATATTTTATAAGTTGGTAACATATGTATAGTATATTATACATATATTCTTAAAAAAAATGTTCGATTTTCACATACATGTATTGGAAGTTTTTAACGTATACAATGTAAGGATAAATTTGGATAAATAGTAATACAAATGTTATATTTAAGTACGAGTTTTTTATATTTTATGTAAGAATTACATTATAAAATTAACGTATATAATAAAAATATCATTCAAAGGTATAAGAATTTTTGGATCAATTTTTACAGCGTATGTTAATTTTTATACAAAAATTTTAATAATAAGTCTTTTTTTTCTTCAATATTTTTTTTAGACAAAATCAACCTTGTAAATCCTTGAGATAAACGGTACGTTATATACATTTGAATGCGATTTATTTAATTTATACAACGTAATTGAAATCTCAATGTTTTTTGCATTATATCTTTTAGACATGGTATATTTCAATAATTTTTTTAATGAAGCATGAAGTGGGCGTTTATAATCATTCATTTAGTCAAATGTGCTGTATTTGTAATGTTATTCTGAGTATCTTGTAATGATAATAATTATTACTAATGCCTATATTAATTATTGAAAACACAAGACAGAAAAAATTTTTAATATTATTTGTATTAAAAATTACCACTTGTTTTTATAACTGCAAAACAATTGAGTTTCATATTATTTTAGTCTTCTGGCTATACTACTACGTGACATAACATTGGGCTAAGAAGTACTCTATAATTATTTCTACCCAAAAAGTACGATACAATACATTAATGTACATAAAATTTGAATAATACAATTACTATTATTATAATACTAATTCTATAATAATACAATATTATTAAATAAAGTTTAAATTATTACTTTACGAAAGGTCGTGGATAAAACAACTACTCATGAAAAAAATTCTATAATATTTATTCTATACTTTAATTTTAAAACTAATGTTAATTACAATCACTGAATAAGAAGGATTTAGTGACTGTAATTAACATAAGTTTAAGAAAAATTGAAGACGCATTAAAAAAATTCTGAAATACGTAGGCAATTATCATAATTGAAAGTTCGTGACCTTTAAAATATTTTCAAATAAATTTAATGAATAAACTTGGTGATATAAGCGACAAATCAAAATCTTTCAATAACACTAGTTTATTGTCATTATAATACAAATCATGAATTCTTTCACACATTATTAAATTATAAAATAGACATGTTACAAAAATGATGAAGACAACCAATGAATCAACCAGAACATGCTTACAATTATGCAGAACAAGAGATGATTGAGAGAGCAAATGCTTAATTGAGCAAAAATATATTTTTATCTTGTCAATGTATTTATATAGTCCAATATATCAAACATAATATTATTAAATTATAATTAAAAAAAGTAGAAAAACGCTAACGAAAATTTCCTAGAGGGTTTAAAATTTATTGACATTAGTTTAAAAAATGGGAGGTAATTCCTCATGTCCTTAGGCTTAAAAGGCGTGGTACCATCTCTTTGAAATTGAGAAGACAACTTAGTTTTTTATTGCAAATATTACTTTTAAAAGAATTATGAGAAAAAAAAGTTATAAAACTATATATGTGTATTATAAATTTTTATTTAAATTAAAAAAAATTTTCCAACCCTCTTCCGAAATAAGTTTTATATAAGCTTCTACTACACTACTAATGTAATCTTAATATCAGTTAATATAACTATTACATAGAATATTAATAACTTTATATATAATATTCTTAAATATTAAAAATAACTTTATAAATAAATCGACTATTAATTTTACTTCCCCTATTCAATGACCGTACAAAGTCAATCTGCTCCACAATAACGTTTTTGATTTTTAGAAACCTGTTACCTAGTAACAGTTGCCGTATAATCTATTTTACATTTCAAAAGCTCAAATTCAAATAAAAATATTTGGTAGTTAGAATTGTATGTTTAGCGTAAGTATTTTTTTAGTGAAAATTCTTAAGACAAGTATAATTCCACGTATTGTCTCTCCCTTCGGGCGTCCTTGTTGTTATTGATCTACAATATTTATATCTACAATAATTCAAAATAATGAAGTAACAAAAAATGCCCAGTGGATTAAAATATACAGTATTATTCAGAACAGTTTGAGGACCTTATATAAATATTAATACTGTGTTTAATTTTACCTTATGGTAGTGAAAACAATTATGTTGGCGTGAAATATAGTTTCACTCTCGTCATTGCCAATAAATGTAATTTACTTTATTAAACATGTTACGTAATAACAACAATTGCTGTAGAAACAAAAGTGAAATAATAATGTATTTATATTTTTTTTATATGTCGTGTATGTACACATTTTAAAATAGAGTGTTTGTAATGTGAAACCGCAATCTGTCTAGATACGATTATTACTTTCTTATATATTGTACATTTATATTACGGTAAAGTATTTAACTATTGTTTGGTTTCAAAATGTAAGTTAAGTGTAAATTATACAGTTATAATATAATCAGGTATTTAAAACGTATATTATTTTATCAAAATTACATCTGTATAATAAAAATTGATCACTTGTGGCTAATTAATTATAGAAGTTAAAACTATATTAAAAATAATATTAATTTAAAAACTAAAAATATTAAACTCAAAAGCCATAAAAAATTACTGAAAAGTCGCGGATACGTATATATTAATTATACGCTAAATAATAATCATAATTATTAGATTTATTAAATAAAATGTAATTATAAAATTAGTATAATTTTTAATTATTGAATATAACAATAAAATAACTTATTGAGATTTTTGTTGTTGACGGTTGTTGTCTTCATTAGTAATTGGAGTAGTGGTAGATCTAGGATTAAGGATCCTATTTGAGTAATCATGATTTCTGTACATAACTTCCGTGTCATAATTGGAGTTTAGATCATTTAAAACTGGAGTAGCGAGATTAGAATACTTGGGTATTACTCTACGGTTTATATATTCAGACGGTAAATAAGAGTTTCTTGAAACAGGTATTACGTCGATTTTAGTTCTTCTGGGTACTTGATTTAAAAAGTTATTTTGATATTGAATAGGTCTCCTAGAAAAAAAACTGATTATTTAGAATTAAAAATAAATTTAAATAAACTTAGTGTATAATTATAATTTTAATAGAAAGCAGTAAAAGCAGTGGCGGCTCGTGGGTGCTGGTGGTGGGAGAGTGACTTTAAATATAATACCACTAGTTATAGGTATGACAAATGATCAAATTAAATTTAATAAAAACGGTAGCACAGTGTAGACGAGGCATATATAGGACAAGTATAGATGATATCTGACAATGATTAAAATCACTATCATAAGAAACGAAATAAGTTTGACTTCTTTTGTCTTATGAATTTTATTGTATGTCATTAAATTATATAATATTCATGAAAGTCAGTGTATTCCCCTTGCAAGATATTTTAAAATAAAATGAAATAAACAACCCAGAACTTTAACACAAAAATAGCATATTTTTGAAAACTGTAGCCATTTTCACCAAGAAGAAAATCTATATTTCGATTTTGTTTTTCGTAGTAAAGTATATAATATAAGCTTTAATTTAAGATTAAATAAAAATGTTAATATTTCAGGAATATTTTCAAAAATTAAATTGAAAAAGCTTAACTTATGTGCAAAAATTTCTTTTTTAAATCCTCCCCTGTGGGCAGGTTAAGTGTTAAAAATTATATTAAATGAAAGAAAAATATCTAAGGTTTCAAATAAAACAAAAAATTATGTTGATTTGTTATTTTTTTAAAAATGTATGGCAATTTTAAGTATTAAAATATTTCATGTTTAACAGTGATTTTTACATAAAAATGACATTTTTTGTTAAATTCAATGGCCATTTTCTGATAGAAGATAAGGTGTCGGGACAAATTTTTTTTTTTCATTTTATAGTACATAAAAAAAGCTTTTATTTGGTATATGTTTAAAGGACACAGTATTTCCGGAACATTTTCAAAAATTAAATTGAAAAACTTCTATTTTTTATACAATGTTTCAAGTTTTGAACGCCTCCTATATAAGGGGAAATTGTCCAATTTTAATAAAAAGTATGTCAAATGAAAAATGTACTTATAATGTAATTACAAAAAAAAAAAATGTGTGCTGATACATACATTTTTCAAAAAGTTATAGCATTTTAAAGTTGAAAATTTAAAATCGATAATCGAAAATTTTAACAGAAAAATACCATTTTTTTAATTACGGCAGCCGTTTGCATGCAGAAGATTAATAGTATATGTCATAAGCTTTCATTTGCTATATATTTAAATACGCAATATTTCCGAAACACTTTCAAAAGTTAAATTGAAAAAGTTCTACTTTCTATATGCATTTTTCAGAATTGAACCCCCCCGTTATAAGGAAATAGTCTGATTTAAAAAAAAGTATATCGAATGAAAGATGTATATAAATAATACTTCTCATGAAAAAATTGTATTGATCCATACATTTTTTAAAAAGTTATAGCATTTTAAAGTAATAAATGTAAAATATAAAATCGAGAATTTTCACTCAAAAATAGTATTCGGTTGCCATTTTCACCAAGAAGACAAGTCCAGAGGTCAAATTTTTTTTTTTATAATAAAGAACATTACATTAGCTTTAATTTAAGATATATATTAAAGTGTCAGACCTTCCGGAACACTTTCAAAAGTTATGTTGAAAAAGTTAATTTTTTGTGAAAAAGTTGTCATTTTAAATCCTCTCCTGTTGGCAGGTAAAGGGTTAAATTTATGAAAATAATATACCAAATGATAGGTAAACACATCAAGCATCTATGAAAAAAAATTATATTGATATGTTCATTTTTAAAAAGGCTATAGCCGTTTTTAGTAAAAAAAATTGAAAAAATTTCGAAAATAAGCGATTTTTAAATTTGTAATTTTTTTGGAAGTTTTCCCCATTTACGGGGAACGAGTGAAATTTTTTCAATTTTCGAGGGTAATGTCTTCAACTAAATACGATTTGTGATCTTTTGACGTATCGTTGAAAGAAATCCGTTATGTGAGAGCTGAGAAAAAGTGGTAACAGTCACAAAAAAAAAATCAATATCATAGTAAAAATAATACCTTCTTAGCTTCATATCGAAGCTAAAAATTGTTTTTAAAGTAGTCCAAAACTGTAAAAGTTCCTAAAAAAAAAATAAGTAATCCAAAATATATCCTTCCTAGCATATATTTTGAATTACTTATTGGACCAAAAGTTATTAAAGATGTTTAATTTGGTGGAATACTCTGTTTTTATTATTCAATGTCTCTAAGTTATAATCTTAAGATGTAGTATGCATATATTTATATCTAATAATTTTAATATAAGTACATTTAAATACACAATAAACATATTACTTTATTGGGAGATTTTGTTGGTTTAGAGTGAAATATTTTTAATGAAGTAGTTTGGATTGATCTAACACAAAAAACTTGAAAATTTTAAAACGCACATTAGTGTTTCTTAAAATTATAAATAGAAGGGTAAGTAATTATCTTTTTATTTATTCGAATTTTTCGTTCCTTATTTAACAATTATTAATTTAAATAAAATTGTTTCGATTCATCTAAAATTTACCTGATTGTACTATCAATATAATCATAATTTCGAGAGAGATATTCTTGAGGTGTCAATTGGTCAAAATCATATACATTGTTTAAATTATTATAATTATTTATTAGAAGTTTATCACGAAAATTCAAGCTTCTGTATCCATCATCTCTTCTGTAATTCTGTGATCTGTAACCAGAATTCCTGTAATCGTCTCCAAATCCGTAAGATCTCAATAGTTGTGCTACGACTTCCCCTCCTGGATAGTACTCACTGTTCGCATCCAACTCCAACCAAAGAGGATTAATATATCGATTTATCTGACCATTAACTGATGTTATATATAGTACAAACGTAACAATTACCTGAATGTAAAAAACAGTTATCACGTCAGTAAATTATAAGGTAAAAAACATTATAGTTACAAATCATTGTTTTTAAATATTATTTAATTATATCTGTTATAAACACTTTTAACTTAGATATTATTCATTATAATAATTTTCTTTATTTGTTAACTTGTAATAATATTAGTTTTATTTCATATTTTATTTATTTATCTTATTTTTTTCTTTTCATTTGTGTTAACGCAAATTGTAGCTATAAGTTAAGCTTTAGAATATAGTTGTTTAGTTATATTAATACTTATTTATTGAAAGTTTTTAAATAAAGAAAAAAAAACTTAAATATTACTTATAAATATTGATGATTACCCAAAGTGTTATAGTAGATTCCATATTTGTCCGTTTAATTGTAATTGACAAACTACTTCAATTGATAGAGTTCGACATCACTTTTAGTTTTATATGTGTGGATTTCTGTGGTCATTCCACATTAATGGACATTGATGGACAAATCCATCAATGTCGAATAGTGGTCATTGCTTTCTTTATCATTAATGACATTATTATTATAAATAATTGACTTATATATATAAATATGAGTTTAAACAAAAGGTATTTTATTATAATTGAATTCGCAAAAAACGAAAGACCACCATATGACCTTACATCTTTGATGAATTTGATCACTTTAAAGCTATTATCACGGCCATTCTCAGGTTTTAATGGACTAGACCGATCAAATTATGAATTTATTTAAACCGTTGGATGGTTTTGAAATAAAAAATGAAGGACAAGTATAATAATTAAATTTAGTATAAGTGAATCAATTATCTATATTATCAGTATTAAAATAACAACAATTTTTATATCATTGATACGAATTAATTATCATAATCTGCATTCGCAGGAAATTAACAAATGTTTTTATCAAAACAATTTGATCGAAAAAATTTGTATTTATTTATGAATGGGGTTAACTATGGTACTAAACACTGTTCATAAATAAAGAAAATGTTTATATCACCCTAGTTAAATAAGTATTATACAAAATTGCACCATTTCAAAAGTAAACTAACCGTTTATACCTACAAAATATATTTATTAAAAAAAGTCATTTTTCAAAAAATTGTGACTTATCACCTTTCATAAAAAACACCAGCACACCCAAAAAAAATAGTTGTCTGTACTTTTGACCGGACCCACCTATGGACATGTATTTTGACCCGTTGAATCCGAATTTGAAGTCCGTTTGGCCCTGTCACCCTTCAGATTTGAGTAAAATTCAAAAAACCAAAAAATTGCGAAAAACTGCAGTCACAGAGATGAATAAAATTTTGTGGACCCTGATCAAGTATGATTTTTATGTATTTCAATTTACTGAAACTAAACTGAACGTTAATTAGCCCGTTGAGTCGTCAACATTTGAAAAATAGCAAAAAAACCCAAAAATTGCAATAAATCATGAAAAATCGAAATTATCGAGATGAAAACAATTTTTTGGATTCAGATTGAGTATGATTTTATGTATTTTGTACCACTGAATTTGAATCTGAAGTTTTCTTGTCCCATTAACGTTTTAAAATTAAAAAAAATCAGGAAAATTTTAGTTATAAATATGAAAAAAAATTTATAAAACACGATTAAATACTTTTCTTGTATTTTTACACGCATAAAATAGGAGTTTAGAATATGAAAATATAAAAAATTGTAATATTTATAAAAAAAATGACTAGAATGAAGAGAACGATTTTCTCGAATTTTAACCTCTTCATGCACGAATTTTTTTTTCCTTAAAAATAAAATATTTAAATTGCAAATCAGATTGCTAATTACCTATGATATTAGTAAAAATAAAAAATAATTTTTTTTTGATTTTGACTTACTAAAAATAAGGTTTTAGTATATGATACAATCGTGCAATATTTGAAAAAAAAATATTCATATTATTTAATTTTATCAAATATACTTTATTCTTTATAAAAAACCTAGCACAGTGGGGTCGCGGCATAGTGGGGATGTTGCATAGTTGGGTCCAGTATAGATTTAATCTGACAGTGATTAAAATCACTATCATAAGAAACGCTTCGATGCAAATCAGTAGATAGTGTTTAATTCTAAGAAATTGGTGGATAATTACAAAAGCTACATTATCTGCTAGTTTCTTATTAATACCCTGATTAAGATAAAGTATGTCGAATGAAAAAGGGATTATTAAAAAATATTATTTCTCATAAAAAAATTGTGTTGATTCGTACACTTTTCAATGAGTTATAGCATTATAAAGTTAAAAATGTAACCAACCCAACCCAACATCAACTCCTATTTCCTTAATTATATCCAGATTAGTAATTATTTTAATTATATATTATATAATTTTTATAATTAATTATTTTCAAATTATTATTGATTTTTAATATGTTAAAAGTAATCATTTTGAACCTACTTCTTTTTGTTCTTTAAAGTGAAAGTTTTAATAAAAAAAAAATGAATTTATTACCATAACTTTTAACTCAACTTGCAAGTTTGAAATAAATATTATTAAATAGAAAAAAATGAAATTGGTAGATTATTTCAAAAACAACAATAACACTTATTCCCTTAATTTTACCCCGATTTATAACTATAATATATGAATACATAATAATTACAGTAATTAAATTGAGTATGAAAGTGGTATTCAATAATATAATATTGTAATTTTTACGGAGATATTATAAAAATAAAAAGGAGTTGTATATTCATATACTTTTAATGCGTATACAAATTTAAAGGAATTTATGCAATACTTTTTAATAAAAAAATTTTGTTACTTATGAATAAATACACTAAACAAAAGGAACTTTCATCAGAAAAAAAATATACTTTTCTAAATAAACTTTTCGTGATGTTTTCAAATGTGCAATTAAACTTTTTCTATTACTTCTAAGTTTTAATATTATTACTTATTATTAAAAAATAAGTATTTACATATAAAAAAAAATAATTAAGAACAAAAAAAATTGTATTAAATTAATACTGATTTTGATTTTTAATATGTTAAAGGTAATCATTTTGAACCTATTTTTTATTGTCTTTTAAAGTGAAAGTTTTAATGAAAAATACCTTCTCAGCTTCGCATCGAAGCTAAAAAATGAATTTGTTACCATAACTTATAGTTCAACTTGCAAGTTTGAAATTGACATTATTAAATTGAAAAAAATGAAATTTTTAAGATTAATATGCAATCTGGAAATTTTATAATTACTAATTACAGTACATTTGTCAGAAAAATTCGATTTTTTTACATTTTTATCGTAATAGATAACTGAAATAGAAAGAATAGTAATCATATCCTAATAACTTTTGGTGTTTAAAAAAATTCTGCAATTGAAATATTCAGAACTTAATTAATTTTAATAATTTACTTTAATTAAATGAACCAATCAAACCAAAGTAGTTAAAAAGATTTACTCAATTGAGCATATTATCAAAAATATAATTATAATTGTAAAACTCCATCGTTAACTTCAGGTGAAACTAAAAATCATTTTTTTTTTAAATTTATGATTTATATAGCAAAATATTACTAAAAAATTTGGCATATTATAGACTGGTAGTAGCACACAGAAATAGAGTTAAAAAATTAATAAATTATAAAGTAAAATTATTTACTTTTGTAGTTGAATACTTTTATCATATCAAATTTAATTCGACAATAAATAATTTAAGAATATTAAAAATTAATGATTTTAATTGTTTGTATGGACAAATCTAGTTAAGCTACTTTTTATTTGAATAAGGAATATTTTTTTGATTTTTAAGAGTAATAACTTAAACTAATCATTAACTTAAATATCATAAACTTAAATGAATCATTTGACGTATCGTTGAAAAAAGTAGGTCTAGTGAGGGTTGGCAAAATAAATCGTAGCCAGAAAAAGAACCACATAGTAAAATAATATTAACATGAATATCAATTTCTTCTCACGAGGGGAGACTATAGTGATAAGATCCTTTATATTTATTGAAATTATTGAATCTAAATGAGATAAATATCAAATGATTTGAAAATTCTATTCTAACTCAAAAAAAAAATGCAAAATTTTAGAAGCCACAAACGGATTTGAACCTCGTACCCTAGGCGTTAAAGATCAAGGTGTTACCCATTCGGCAACTATTCGTTGATTTTTGTTGCATGATAAAATTGGCTATTTAAGCTAACTCAAATTTAAAAATTACTTTTTCGACTTTAAAAAAGTAAAAAATGTTAATAAGTATAATATCATATGTCTTATGAACTTTATTCTATGTCAATGAAATTATATAATATTCATGAAAGTCAGTTTATTCCCCTAATAAAATATTTTAAAATAAAATAAAATACAAAACCTAGAATTTTAATAAAAAATAGCATATTTTTAAATACGGTAGCCTTTTGCGCATAGAAGATAGGTCGTCGGGACAAATTTTTTTTTTTCATTTAGTAGTACATAAAATAAGCTTTAATTTGATATATGTTTAAAGGACGCAGTATTTCCGGAACATTTTCAAAAATTAAGTTGAAAAAGTTAGTTTTTGTAAAAAAGTTGCTATTTTAAATCCCCCCTGTGAGCAGAATAAGTGTTAGATTTTCAAAAAAAAATGATATCAAATGAAAGAAAATTACCTAAGGTTTCAATATAAAGAAATATTATTTTGATTAGTTAATATTTGAAAAAGTTATGGCAGTTTTAAGTACAAAAAACATCGTTATAAAAGGTGATTTTTATCGCAAATATTACATTTTTTTTATAATTTCGACAGCCATTTGCACATAGAAGATAAGGTGTCGGGACAAATTTTTTTTTTTCATTTTATAGTACATAAAAAAAGCTTTAATTTGATATATGTTTAAAGGACGCAGTATTTCCGGAACATTTTCAAAAGTTCAGTTGAAAAAGTTCTATTTTTTATACAATGTTTCAAAGTTTGAACCCCCCCTATATAAGGGGAAATTGTCTAATTTTAATAAAAAGTATGTCAAATGGAAGATGTACTTATAATGTATTTAGAAAAAAAAAAATTGTGCTGATACATGCATTTTTCGAAAAGTTATAGCATTTTTAAGTTGAAAATTAAAAATTGAAAATCGAAAATTTTAACACAAAAATAGTGTTTTTTTAACTACGGCAACCGTTTACATGCAGAAGATAAAGTGTCGGGACAAATTTTTTTTTTTCATTTTATAGTACATAAAATAAGCTTTAATTTGATATATGTTTAAAGGACGCAGTATTTCCGGAACATTTTCAAAAATTAAGTTGAAAAAGTTAGTTTTTGTAAAAAAGTTGCAATTTTAAATCCCCCCCCATGAGCAGGTTAAGTGTTAAATTTTCAAAAAAATTATATCAAATGAAAGGAAAATATCTAAGGTTTTAGTTTAAAAAAAAATTATGTTGATTTGTTGATTTTTGAAAAAGTTATGGAAGTTTTAAGAAAAAAAAGTGAAAAAAATGACAAAATTTGTCGATTTTTAAATTTGTAATTTTTTTGGATATTTCCCCCATTTGCGGGGAACGAGGGAAAATTTTTAAATTTTTAAGGGTAATGTCTTCAACTAGATACAATTTGTGATCTTTTGACGTATTGTTAAAAGAAATCGGTCTAGTGAGAGCTGAGAAAAAGTAGTGACAGACACAAAAAAAAAAAAAAAAAAAATAAAAAAAAAAATAAACACATCATGGTAAAATTAATACCTTCTCAGCTTCGCATCGAAGCTAAAAAAAAAAAATAACAAACATCAACTTTTAGAAAAACTTCATAAATTATAAATCATAAAATTAAGTTCATAAAATATTTATAATAAAACAAATTTTAAAAGATCAATATTGAATTATAATAAACAAATAATATTTAAAAAATGATAAATAAGACTAGGTATTTTTCTTAAATTTCAGACTTCTGATAACTTCAGTTTTTTAACTGAATATAAGTTTTATAACATATTTTAAAAGTATTTAACAAAATAATATATACTGTAGTCAATTTTTTATTAATTTAGTGTGAAATGCTCTCATACATTCTGGGCATACAGCACATTCTGAATAACTAGGATTTCTAAATCCAAAAAAAAAAAATTATATCTTTATCCCTGAGATCTATTTTCAACTAGAAAAAAAACATCATAGTATAACGTGTTACATGGTAACTAAGCAATTTCGAATACATAACAACATTATATTGTTTTAATATTGCCAAATATAAATAGATCGTACTATTTTATGTAATAAAAGTAATTAATTATAAATATACTTACATTATTTGGTCGTTAATTATATATAAAAAAAAAGTAAAATTTGACTTTTTCAAATGCACAAAACAGTTTCGCGTTTATTAATATATCTCTTTCAATGATAACACAACCAAGTAGACCGATGCGTAACGTTCCGTACATTAAACGAAAACAATAATAACATTGCTACCACGATTTTTCGATTTTATATAAATTCTACAATTTAGTGGTATCATATGATGCCACCGTGCATGAAGAGATTAAAATTCGAGAAAATCGTTGTCTTCATTCTAGTCATTTTTTTTATAAATATTACAATTTTTTATATTTTCATATTTTAAACTCCTATTTTATGCGTGTAAAAATACAAGAAAAGTATTTAATCGTGTTCTATAAATTTTTTTTCATATTTATAACTAATTTGTTAATTTCCTGCGAATACAGATTATGATAATTAAATCGTATCAATGATATAAAAATTGTTGTTATTTTAATACTGATAATATAGGTAAATGGTTATTAAATAACAAATAAAAATAACAATAATAAAAATAACAATAATAAAAATAACAAATCACGAAGGAAAAGCTCATAAAGGACCTGACGAGGTCTGTTCTTTTTATTGAAGTATATTAATGAAAATTTCCAATCATCAGTAAAAGAACTGCATTTTTATAATGTCGGATATGGTGGACAAAGTAAAATAATGATGTTATTACATTTTTGTTAGCTTTAACAGATACAGGGAGGTCCAAAAAATTATTTACAGATTGCCTATACGAGGACACTCTTTCCTTACATGTGATAGGGACTTTGGACTAATAAAAAAAGTTCTAAGAAAAACAGATAGATACTATGATTTGAAACAGCTAACGAATATGATCTGCAGTGCAAATAAAATGCCTAACAAATTTTCAGTTTACTTGGTAAATAGGAATGATATACTTGATATCAAAACGTGATAGAAACTATTGTACAAAATTCTACATTTTCATTAGAAAGTCAGCGTTTGAAAACTGGAAAAAAAGAACTATTTAATGTCTCATTTTATATACAATTTGAATTCAATGCTGATAAGAAAGGTGTTGTTATTATTGGAGAATTTGTAAATAATTTGGTAAAAAAGACCTTCAAGTTCGGAAATGAAAATTCTCTCATTTCATTACCTTCAGCAAAAGCATATAAACAAATGTGTCCAATCCAGAATGAAAAAATCCTAGATATACAAAAAATATTAAAATACATACCAGATAAATATTTAAAATTTTATAAACAATTTGAAAAGTGGCCAAAAAAATATTGTGATATGTTGATTTTAAAGTAAAATAAAAATTGGGAAAAATTCCTTTCAACGATTTATATATTTTAAATTTCATACTAAAATATATCGGTTGAGTAGTTTTAGTTTACATCACTGTATTGCACACGACCCTGTTTATGATTTAATCATTTTATTTATGAAAAGGGTCAAAGTTGTTCAGTTTATTCTCACACTGTAAGTTAAAAAATAAATTTGAAAACTTGGTAATCACAAATTTGAATAAGTATAAATCATGAAAATTTTAAATAATTTTTTTCATGCAAAATTGTATGAGATAAATAGTTATTTTTAATTTTCTGAAAGTTTCACTTTTAGGACTTAGCCTCTTTTATAAATGATTTCGGTTTTTTTTGAAAAGGCCATATCTCATTATAAAACATATATTACATAAAAGTAGTTTTGAAAAAATGTGGAGAAATGGCCTTTTTGAAATGATCGATTCATGTAATCGATTCAAGTAAAACCCATGTAAAGCAGCGTCGTTTACCAAATACCTAACTTCAAATGTTATTCACAACGTTTATCAAATAATTTAATATTATTAGTGTTGGCTCAATCAGCTTTAAGAGTTCTATCACACTAAATGTTTCATAATGTATAATTTTATTTTAAAGTTTAAAAACTTGATGCTATACTTGCCATTTTGTTTTGTACATAGTGTAAAAAAATTAAGTGTTTTTTGTCAATGCTGCAGCATCATAAAAATATTGTTACATGATTTTCAAACATGTAATATAAAAAATGGCACAGAAGTATAGCACAAAATTCTAAACATTTTTTTGAAAACTTATTGTAGAGAGTGAATGATATAGAAAGTATTGACCTTGACAGACAAAAGTCTTTTTTGGGGGGAGTTCATTTCACTTTTTTTTGCATGAGGCTATTTAAGAAGAAATCCTCTTTTTGTCCTCTTTTATTTTTGTAAAATAATTCTACATTTGGGAAAATTATTAATGATAACCTCTTATATTCATAATTAGTTAGGAAAAAAAAATAAGTTAAAAATGTATAAAATGAAACGTTCAAAACAAATTATGCAAAATAGATCATTTTTATTATAGAACCTTTAAATAAATTAGTTATATTTTTATACATATATATATATATATATATATTTATAAAATAAATTGTTTAACATCGTAAATTATGAATTATTTAAATAATATCACAATCATATATAAAAAATTATTTAACTGTATAGTTCAAAACATGTTTTTTTTATATTTGAGTAAAAAAATGAAAAGAAAACGCATTGTATTATGAATGAATATATTCATAGCAATATTATTATTTATTTGTAATAAGAGAAATTCTTACTTTTGGTGTGTTTTATATCTTAATTAAAATAGCTCTTATATATGCGTTAAATACCCACGTGTTAAAAATTAAAAGTTGATTTTTTGGATATAAAATAATATATTTATTGGAATCTCAATTTAAAAAAAAAGAAAGACAGAATCGTTCTAAACAATTATAAGTGTGAAAAATTTTTTTTTACCGATAATATCACTATGTCTTGTGATAGATAAACGCATAATACATTACTCATTATATTTGTTATTAATGCAATTTTTATACATAAGTAAATCTTGTAAGTTGCATACTAGTTGTAAAGTACATTTGAGTTTCGCATCGACATTTTCGCCTTTAATAGGAACAATTAAATTTAATTTTTCCATAGGGTTATTTAAAGAATCAAATGTATTCAATAATCCTGTAGCAATTCTAGGCGATTTTTGATTTTTTGCTAAATGTACATTAACAAATAAACCATGCTGTGAAAAAAGAAATTATAATTATTTAATATAAATTAGCACATGTGAGTATATTTTTATTATATTTAAGGTATAATGAAAAAATTCAATGTTGCTGTTGTCAATCCACAACAAAGAACTATTATTTAATATGTATAGAATAAAATATTATACTTTTATATCCTGATTAAGATAAAGTATGTTGAAAGAAAGAGGGATATAAATATTATTTCTCATAAAAAAATTGTATTGATCCATATACTTTTTAACAAGTTATAGCATAATAAAGTTAAAAATTTTAAATACAAAATCAAGAATTTTCACACAAAAATAGCATTCGGTAGCCATTTTCATCGTGAAGAAAAAATAAAGTTCTAAATATTTTTTTCCATGATAAAGTATATTACATTATTTTTTATTTAAAATATATATAAAAGTGTCAGAGTTTCCGAAACACTTCAAAAGTTAAGTTGAAAAAGTTGTCATTTTAAATCCCCCTCTGAGGGCAGGTAAAGAGTCAAATTTATAAAAAAAATATACCAAATGAAAGATAACGACATCATGCATCTATAAAAAAAAATTATATTAATATGTTCATTTTTGAAAAAGTTATGGCAGTTTTTAGTAAAAAAAATTGAAAAAATTTCAAAAATAAGCGATTTTTAAATTTGTAATTTTTTTGGAAGTTTTCCCCATTTACGGGGAACGAGTGAAATTTTTTCAATTTTCGAGGGTAATGTCTTCAACTAAATACGATTTGTGATCTTTTGACGTATCGTTGAAAGAAATCCGTTATGTGAGAGCTGAGAAAAAGTGGTAACAGTCACAAAAAAAAAAAAATCACATCATAGTAAAACCAATACCTTCTCAGCTTCGCATCGAAGCTAAAAGATTTTTGTGAAAACACTACTACGACTTAATGACAGGAGAAGTAATGCTTCATAAAGGTTTTAACCGGGTTTTTTACGCATAGTATTCTAGAGAAAAAAGGTTAAGCCAAATTAGTTTTATCATAAGAGTAATACCCTTAAGACATTTTTTTGATTAGAGTCTGGGTAGAAAAAGCTCATAAGAATTGCACTAATATATGGTCTTCAATCTCTCAAAAGAAAATAAGTAAAATTCATTTTTTAATGTTGGTAATTTTAATATTAGTAGTCCAAACCATTCCTAAATACATCTGTACTATAAACAATACTTCTTTAAGCAAATAAATATATAAAGGATATATAAAGACATTAAAATCACCAAATTTACCCAAAATAAATTACATATACTCTGACATAAATTTTATTATTGAAACAAATCATTGGAAAACTTTTTTTTAAATTAGCTTCGCATTGATACTAAAGTATTAAATAATATAATTATATGTAAATTATATATACCTTAGTGATAAAATGTAAAAGTTCTGTGATACTAGAGCTGCGATAAAAACAACTACAGTTGAAATCAGCAGACCAAGCTAATTTGCTAGGTGAGTAAGCCATATCTTCTTGATCTTTAAATCCCCATGTCAAAAATATATTTGGTTCGGACTGAATAGACCTAAATAAATGAATAATTAGATAAAAACATGTTGATATAGTTATATCGGAAAAATGTAATAAAATGGTCAAACGTTTGCCTAAACAATAATCAATTTGTCATTTTAAAGCAAAATATTTTTGACTGAACAATTTATTTGGTGATTAAATTTACTTGTTAATTTTCTTTTTATTGGAAGTACTATAGACGTAACTAGAATACAATTTTTAAGAAATATTTTTGTATTTTATCTCCACCCTAAACATTTAAAAATATTCTCCACCCTGAATATTTCAGATTGTTAATTAAATTAGTTTAGTTATCATATTGTTAATAACTTTTGAAATAATGCTTAAAAATTAGTTATGAACCAGTAATTTTCTTAATTAGATCATTATCTATTAAATAAGCTAGTTAACTATACAGAGTGTTAAGTAAATAAGGAAACGGGTTAATTGTTATAAACAATGAGAACAAAAGAAACCCGTTCCTTACTTACTGAAAACCTATATAAGTTTCCACTTAAAAAATTATAGTTGATACGCTTGCAACGTATTAGGAATGATTTAAAAAAACACTTCATGACTGATTAATTGATTATTTTTAACTTCTTCCTTTCAACAAGGAAAATAAGTTATAAGTAAAAAATTGCTTATACTAGTGTACATAGTTGGAAATGGATAACCAAAAAATAGTATACATAGTTTTCTTCAATACTCAATTATCATAAATAAAATGCAAAGATGAACAAATTAATGGAAATAATTTACTCAAGTTAAGTTAAGTATAATCAATGTCGATAAATTAACAGTTAAAAGTTAATAAATTATAAATTTAACTTGTTAAGTTAAAGATAAGTTGAAATTTTTTTTAAATTTAATTAGTATATAAAAAGTTTATTTCATTTAAAATTAATTTTTTGCTAAAATCTCTTAAAATTATTTTTTATTGATGTAGGAAAAAGCTAAAAATCAATTTTCAACTTTTAAAACTGAATAGGTTAAAAATATTAATGATAATAAAAAATTTTTTTAGTCATTTTGCACATTATAGTGTTGATGCATTGTTTTATCTTTTTACTAGATATAAAAAAAATCAGTTAAAAATCACATACATTTTTGATAAATTTCAGAAAATTATATTTATTGTTATATAAATATAATATATGGGATTGGGGAAAATTTTATTTTTTTAAATTAAACCAGGTACGCAGCGTATAAAGACATTTATTATGAAATTTTGAATTTAATATAACTGTTAGTTTAACTAATTAACTAAAAATCTAAGTTATTTCAACGGAAAATTAAATTAGTTAAGTTAAAAAGTCTATTAGAAAAATAATCAACTAGTTAATGCTCATCATAGTTAAAATGTATATTGTAAAATTAATAAGTGCTGGTTACATTTTATGGTAGTTTTTTATCTACTCATTTTGTTTTATTTATTTTTTAGTTATTTTTAAATGTTTCCTGATGATGATCTAGTGCTGAAACTAGCAATTGCCATTTTTAATTTAATATTTTAAGCAATTTAAAATTTTACTTTAATGTTAAATCTTACAATGTATATTTTATTTTTTTTAAATTATTACATGTAATATTGGAGAGACCTGTGCTGATAGTCGCAAAGATTAGTTATCACATTGTTAATTATTACAAATAATTAAACTAAATATCCGAAACTAGATGTTATCGTTCGTTATAAGTCACATCTTATATTATTACAACAGTTTTAATTATTTTAGTGTTTACAGGAAGTAGATTGAAGCCGTTAATAAGATTATATGAACAAAAAAACAAAATTTTATTTTAGTAAGTAAATTTAAGCATAAATTCATTTTAATGTAGCTTTTTTTTTGTTATTATTATTTTATAAGTACACATTTTTGATAAAAAAAAAAGTGCAATTTTGTGGTTTGTCATTTTAATATCATAATATAAACATCAACAAGAATATCGACAACTAAACCTTAAAAAGTATTTGTCGACACAAACTTTAAATTTCTAATGTGCTTCTCCTGTTCTATTAACGTTTGATATTTTTACAAGGTGATATATTATATTTCATAGTATATTTGTCTCAGTTAAAAAAACCGTTGTCTTTTTATAAAAAATAAAACAATGAATTGTGACAACTAGCCCCGGTCCTTAGATTTTCAGATAAAAATTCATCTGGATATAGTTACATCGGAATGAAAAATATCTACATAAAGATATAATAATTTTATAATAATATTGGCTTTATATTTAAATTAAATATAAAATAATCGTTATTAATTTACTTTAAGTATAGAAGACTTTCATCACTAAAAGTTAAGTTTTGCATATGTACTTCAAATTGCGGAATATTATTTTGAGTTGCATTAGAGAAGTGAATCTACAAAAAAAATTAATATTAATAAAAAAACATATGTTTCAATGTTCAAATTGACTAGAAGCTATTTTCATCTATATATTTCAATATAAAAGTAGACGAACTAACCAAACTATAATTCAAAGTGAAGTTAAATATTGTTTGTGCGGCTAGGAAACATGTTTTATATTCTTTGAGTTTAAATTAATATTTAAAATAATACTTAGTCACAATTTATCAATTCTTATAATATATTTTTTCTTTATTAATTTAATTATTAATTAAGAAAAATATAGGCATTTGATAATTATTAGAATTATAAATAAATACAAGCTTTAGTGTTATCAATATTTGACCACAAGAATAAAACCATGAAATTAATAGTGTATAATTTAATTTTTCCTGTCGAACAATTTATATGGGGTGTCGAAGTCCATTTTTATTTATAGTATTTTCCTAAAATTTATGCTAAGTATATAGATGATATTTTTTGCAGAAATAAACAAAATTTTAATTTAGAGATGTTCATACAATTCTTTTTAACCATAGATTAAACTCACATACGAACAAGAAATTGAGAGAAAATTGCTTTTTTTTATTTATTAGTTAAAAAAATAGATGGGGAATAAAATTTGAAATTTATCGGAATAACACACGCGTGTTAGGACGCTTTATCATTAAACCCCATCATAAATGTTTTAAACTGATTATCAATTAAAACGTCCAGTGAAAGTTATCAAAATAATTGCAGAAAATATTTCGTGATCAAAATTTGAATTTTGTTGTGATCCTTTGAGACACAAAAATACTTCCTGCCATTACATGAAAAAAAAATTTAGATCGTCTTCCTTTTATTGCAACGGCCTTATATACCCACAAGGACAGACTTAGAAGTATCATTAGCTGTCTTTGACGATTTGCTCAAATGGTCACTATTAGAAATAGTACAAGCTTGGTGTTCCTCTAAGGGGAAATACTTTTTGACAATCTGCTTCATATTATTTAGTCAAATGAATGTTAAAATAGTAAATGACACTGAGAGGGGAGTTAAGTTAAAGGAGGAATAGAATAACAAATTCACTAGAGACGAAGAACAAAAACAGTTTTTATTACAAGTAAATAATTTAATAATTTTCGATCTAAATTCAATTACTTCATTGAAATATTTAGGATCGTACAAGATTACTCAAAGAAATAACCATAAAGTTATAGATAAACACAAAAAAAAACATATTAGAAGTCAAATGAGGATCATAAGTAAATATTGTGTTGTGCCAGTTTTAAAATAATTGTTTTTATATTATATAAAAACCCAGCACAGGGGGGTCACGGCACAGTGGTGACGTGGCATAGTTGGATCAAGTATAATGATATCTAACAGTGATTAAAATCACTATCAAAAATAAACGCTTCGATGCAAATCTTTAGATAGTGTTTAATTTTAAAAAAATTGGTGTTTTATTCCAAAAGCTACTTGATCTGCTGGTTCCTTATTAATATCCTGATTAAGATATAGTATGTCAAATGAAAAAGGAATTATGAAATAATAGTATTTCTCATAGAAAAATTATGTTGATTCATACACTATTCAATAAGTTACAGCATTATAAAGTTAAATATAAAACCCAGCACAGGGGGGTCGCGGCACAGTGGTGACGTGGCATAGTTGGATCAAGTATAATGATATCTGATAGTGATTAAAATCACTATCAAAAATAAACGCTTCGATGCAAATCTTTAGATAGTGTTTAATTTTAAAAAAATTGGTGTTTTATTCCAAAAGCTACTTGATCTGCTGGTTCCTTATTAATATCTCGATTAAGATAAAGTATGTCGAATGAAAAAGGGTTTATTAAAAAATATTATTTCTCATAAAAAAATTGTGTGGATCCATAAACTTTTCAATAAGTTATAGCATTATAAAGTTAAATATAATATAAATAATAAAATCGAGAATTTTCACACGAAAATAGCATTCGGTAGCCATTTTCGCCGTGAAGACAAGTCCAGAGGTCAAATTTTTTTTTTTCAAATTAAAGTATATTACATTAGCTTTAATTTAAGATATATATAAAAGTGTCAGACCTTCCGGAACATTTTCAAAAGTTAAGTTGAAAAAGTAAATTTTTTGTGAAAAAGTTGTCATTTTAAATCCCCCCCTGTGGGCAGGTTAAGTGTCAGATTTACAAAAAAAATATACCAAATGATAAGTAAAGACATCAAGCATCTATAAAAAAAAAATTTATATTGGTATGTTCATTTTTGAAAAAGTTACGGCAGTTTTTAGTAAAAAAAATTGAAAAAATTTCGAAAATTAGCGATTTTTAAATTTGTAATTTTTTTGGAGGTTTCCCCCATTTACGGGGAACGAGGGAAATTTTTTCAATTTTTAAGGGTAATGTCTTCGACTAGATACGATTTGTGATCTTTTGACGTATCGTTGAAAGAAATCGGTTCGGTGAGAGCTGAGAAAAAGTGGTAACAGACACAAAAAAAAAAAAAAAATAAACACATTATAGTAAAACCAATACCTTCTCAGCTTCGCATCGAAGCTAATAAAAGTTATTTCTACTTAACTTTAGTCAATTATTAAATAGTTGACCTTTTAAATAATTTTTACGTAATATGATATTTAAGAGATACTAATTTTATAAAATATTTGTGTAAAAGTGTTATGTCAAGTTTGCATAAAATATATTAAGTTACATTATTTTTTAAAATTATAATTGATATATGAAACATTTTGTTAATACCATTTTTATAGGCAATAGTAAGTTCTATAATTAAGGTATCATATATTTTAACGTTAAGTGTAATACTTATCGAGGTTAACTGAAAAAACGAAAAAACAATCCTCAATCATTATATTTTAACCCCAATACGGCACCAGAATCGGTTGAGTAAAACCTTTCAAATGTTGCATACATTACTTTCTTATACGAATCAACTAATCTAGAGGGTACTGTCATAAAAAATAAAGTTTGAAAAATATGAACCCCCCTAATATTTATTATTTATTACAATAAATAAAAAAAAAAAATAACTGAAATTTTCTAGTTCAACTTATGGGACATTCAACTTTTTTTAGCACAATAACTTTTACTAAAATATAAATAAAAATTTAGAAGTATAATAATAAATGAAATACTGAAAAGAAAAACAAATTTAATTTTTGACAAAAACATAATTGCAATTTTACTTTAGTTAATAAAATTTGCTAAGCCACGATTGATAATATAATTACAACAAACGTATTATGGGATAATCATAGAAATTACACTTATATGGAGTAAGCAAGCTGGTAACGTGACAGTATTTGATGAGAACTATCAGAGCTTTGTGACTGGACCACAATTGATTAGTCTGTCGAGTATAAGTACAACTAGAGAGCCTTTACTTGAATAATTTACTCTCACTAAAAAAATATATGTTGACATTATACAAGGTACGTCCAGAAAGTAAGTTCCGTATTCTATTTTTATCTCGTTTGCGATGTTATCTTAATTATTGTCATATCCGATTATTTAATTTACTTATTTGGAACATTTTAAAAACCATTCCGTGACTAGTTAATGTACGTACGTCACGTGGAGAATGTTTTAAAATGGATAAACGAATAGAAAATTCCGCCAAATGTGAGTTACGATCTGTGATTCGTTTTTTAAATTTATATAAATTATATAAATTCATATTTAGGAGATGGGTGCGACGACGAGGCATGCTTAGCCGTGGCATTGTTTTCATCCACGACAATGCCCGCCCGCACACAGCAAATGTGACGAAACAACTTCTTGTAGATTTTACATGGGAACAATTTAATCATCCACCCTACAGTCCAGATTTAGCACCCAGTGATTTTAATTTTTTTTTACACACGAAATTATTTATGGGTGGCCAGAACTTCAACGAAGATAATGAGGTGAAAAAGGCTGTTAGCGCATGGTTACAATCACAGGCGTCATCTTTCTATTATGAAAGAATACAAAAACTAGTACCTCGATTTGATAAGTGCTTCAATAATGGTGGTAACTATGTTGAAAAATATAGTTGTACTTGTATTTTATATTCAAATAAAATTTATATTAAAATTTACACATTTACATGTTTTTATTGCCCAACGGAACTTACTTTCTGGACGTACTTCGTATATTACAAAATATGTAGAAAATTATATTTTTTTTGTGTAAAAATACTTTTAAGACAAGAATAATTAATTTTGCCACCCTAATATTTTAATCTTAGTTAGACCTATGGCTACATCTACCTACAAAGGAAAATATCAGTACAATTTTATCGTTCCTCTATTTAGTATAAAACTAAACATCCGCCTTAGAAGTTACTTAGTTAAGTTTTATGAAAAAGGAGGTTATCGACGACCTTATCGGGATGTAAAAATTGTGCATATAAAGAGAAGAATCCGCTAAAGTGAAGTGAAGTATTTATTTTTGAAATGGCGTAATAATCATTATGACTCTTTTATTTATAAATTAATAATAATAACAAATACAAAACCTGCTCATCAATTAAATGATTTGAAAGATGATTTTGATTTAAATTTGATGTTGTTAAAAATAATTGTTCCTGATTAAAAACTGTATGTTTTTTGATAATTTTGTCTCTAAAATCATTTAAGATATCCATAACTTTTTTGATAACGTCTTCTAAGTCAATATTATTAATATTGATATCAGCATTCTTCTTCATCACATTGATAGCTTTTTCTACAACTTCTGTAGTGGTTATAATTGGCCAAATAAGATCTTGTGATATGATGCCAGTAAATAAACTTAAAAGGTTTTTTAATAATTCTGTAGCTATTTTTAAATCGCTTTTCAATTTGTCAACCTGTAATTTGTGTTATTTATAAATATTAGACATTGAATTATAAAAATATAATAGATATGAAGAATTTAAAATTAACGGATAATAAACATTTAAACAATAAATTGGTTAAGTGGACAGTGGGAATTAAAATTGTTGGTTTTTATAAGAAAATTTTTTAAATCATAAAAGTGATGAATAATTTTGTTTTATTTTAACATTTTTAAATATCAAAAAACTATGAACATTAGTTTCTCGAAGTTAAGAATTGGTCACTTATATCTCTTAGTGCATATACATCAATACAATTTATATCCACAGGCATTACATAACCACTGAATTTTTGTAATTGAATTGTTATTCAATAAGTACTTATGATAAAGTTGATATGGTCCCATCAAAATTTTTTATAAAAAAAATAAATAAAAAATGGCTTTTAAAATTCCGAGAACAAAATATTTATTTTTTTCTTACTTGAGATAAAGAATAGAAAGCATGCTTAACAGATGGAGGGACACCTTATATTTAGGATGTTCAATCACGTTTAAAAAACATAATATCGTAAAACCAATACCTTTTCCGTATCAAAGCTAAAAGTATTTATATTTAAAATACTGATAAAATCATAAAACTGTTTTAAATACATTTCAAATAAATGATATAAAAAATATTTTAATTACTTTATAAGTATTTAAATATATTTACTCAAATACAAGACTGGTAATATTCTCAATAAATTAAACCGTAAATAAAAAAATTAATACTCAGAAATAGAATATCCTACCAAGGTTTTGAAATTTTCAATAAGTTCTGATACAATAAATATTTTGCGTTACTTTCTTCTTTTAGATCATTTTTACAATTTTGGACTACGTTAAAATCATACTTTCTATTATTTGTCTCAAATAAAAAAAAAATAAAAATATTTATCCCAAAATTTAAGAGCCGTTTTTATTAATAAACTACCAAATAGCCACTATTAAGTTATTTTTCATTAAATATTTTGATGTTTAGATAAAAACTATAGAATAAGTATTTATAGTGTACTTATAATGTATAATACTTATGTATTTATACTGACCTAAATTAAATACTAGAAATGTTCCGCGAAAGAAAATTTGGATAAAAAAAAGGAATAAATCATAAAAAATGTAATTTTATTTTACATGGTGTGATATTAGAATATAACTTTTCAAAATTAGAAAATGTCACTTTCAAACTTTTACTTATAAACTCTTAAACTTCTTATATAGCATCTGATTATGAGTTGTTGGTTGATTTCCTTTTTGTTTGGTGCATGATAGGTAACCAAGTTTTGCTGATTTTCCATCCATCTTGACGTTAGTCAAAAACCCAGATACGGTAAACAACGTTAGTCAAAAACCCTGATACGGCAAACAACGTTAGTCAAAAACCAGATGTTATCAATTTTATAAAAGCACACTGTTATCAAGATAAGCCGCCAGTATAGTTGCAGCCACCGACTGGCAACCATCACTCTGAAGATGGACTCTGCAATGAGTCCGAAACGTCAGAACTCAACTGCAAACATTGATATATCCTCAAGCACTTCAAGCAACAAGACAATCCATGAAAGCTTTAACACTTTGATAACAATATATTCTTATTTGAAGTGCTTAAGAATGTATCCATGTTTACAGTTGAGTTTTGTCGTTTCAGACTCATCGCAGGCCCATCTTCAGAATAATGGTTGCTAGTCGGTGGCTGCAACTATGCTGGCGGCTTATCTTAATAACAGTCTGCTATTATACAATTGATAACATCTGGTTTTTGACTAACATTGTGGACTGTATCCGGATTTTTCTGACTAACGTTGTTTACAATATCTGGCTTTTACTATCGTTGTTGACAAAATTTCGGTTTTGACTAACGTTGTTGTTTACGGCATTCTAGACATTTTGGTCTTCCTTTCCTACATCGCCAATTGTCTGTTACGTTGATTGTAGTCTCTTCGTATATTGAATTATTATCGGTGTTGTTGGTTGATTTTCATTTTGTCCGGTATATGGTAGGTAACCAAGTTTTTCTGATTTTCCATCCTTCTTCTCTGTTGAAATTTTCTGGACATTTTTCGATTTCTATCACTTCCATGTACATCCATTTACCAAAATGAGTTTCTTTGTTTACTTTATCAATCAACACAGATACGCTGGAGTCTCAGAAGTCTTTCAGTTTCCGACTAACTTACAAAGTTTGCCCGTTCACCGCCCCTGACTACTCCACATAATCTCTCAACTATCAATAGCCAAATTGGGCTATTGGTAGTTGAGACATTTATTTAGATTTTTACATACCTAATTATTATAAATACTTATACAGTTACAGTAATACAGTTATTACCTTATCTTTCATTTTATTATTCAAATAAGACTGCGAAACTAATGCTTGGTTAATTTTTGCTTGTGCTTGTTGAAGATCTTCAATTTGACTTTTTAATCTAAAATATAAATACACATTTTAAATTCATAATTGAATACATTATAAGAATAAATAAAGTAAAGTTCAGAACAGGAAAACGTTATTTGTAACAGTAGATATATAATGTTTAAATTTCAAAATAGTAGTCAAAAATTGAAACATATGTAATATTAATGAATTTTATTTATCGTTAAACACAAAATATTTTCAATCAATTCATATTTAATAATTAATAAAATAAATGATCAAAAATACAGTTATGGACTCTTCTATTATTCTATAAGTACTAATTGGTAGGTAAAAACCTAATAATTAGGTATGTAAAAATCTAAATAAATGTCTCAACTACCAATAGCCCAATTTGGCTATTGATAGTTGAGAGATTATGTGGAGTAGTCAGGGGCGGTGAACGGGCAAACTTTGTAAGTTAGTCGGAAACTGAAAGACTTCTGAGACTCCAGCGTATCTGTGTTGATTGATAAAGTAAACAAAGAAACTCATTTTGATAAATGGATGTACATGGAAGTGATAGAAATCGAAAAATGTCCAGAAAATTTCAACAGAGAAGAAGGATGGAAAATCAGAAAAACTTGGTTACCTACCATATACCGGACAAAATGAAAATCAACCAACAACACCGATAATAATTCAATATACGAAGAGACTACAATCAACGTAACAGACAATTGGCGATGTAGGAAAGGAAGACCAAAATGTCTAGAATGCCGTAAACAACAACGTTAGTCAAAACCGAAATTTTGTCAACAACGATAGTAAAAGCCAGATATTGTAAACAACGTTAGTCAGAAAAATCCGGATACAGTCCACAATGTTAGTCAAAAACCAGATGTTATCAATTGTATAATAGCAGACTGTTATTAAGATAAGCCGCCAGCATAGTTGCAGCCACCGACTAGCAACCATTATTCTGAAGATGGGCCTGCGATGAGTCTGAAACGACAAAACTCAACTGTAAACATGGATACATTCTTAAGCACTTCAAATAAGAATATATTGTTATCAAAGTGTTAAAGCTTTCATGGATTGTCTTGTTGCTTGAAGTGCTTGAGGATATATCAATGTTTGCAGTTGAGTTCTGACGTTTCGGACTCATTGCAGAGTCCATCTTCAGAGTGATGGTTGCCAGTCGGTGGCTGCAACTATACTGGCGGCTTATCTTGATAACAGTGTGCTTTTATAAAATTGATAACATCTGGTTTTTGACTAACGTTGTTTGCCGTATCAGGGTTTTTGACTAACGTTGTTTACCGTATCTGGGTTTTTGACTAACGTCAAGATGGATGGAAAATCAGCAAAACTTGGTTACCTATCATGCACCAAACAAAAAGGAAATCAACCAACAACACCGAAAATAATTCAATATACGAAAAGGCTACAATCAACATAACAAATAATTGCTGGTGTAGGAAAGGAAAACCGAAATGTCAAGAATGCCGTAAACAACGTTAGTCAAAAATCGAAATGTTGTTAACAATATTAGTCAAAAACCAAATGTGGCCAATAACCATCGATTTTGATGAACAATACATCAAAAGATCCCAAATCGTATTACGTCGAAGACACTACCCTCAAAAATTGAAAAAAATTCCGCCGTTCCCGTAAACGGGGGAAATCCCTCAAAAAATTACAAATTTAAAAATCGCTAATTTTTTCACTTTTTTTTACTTAAAATTGCCATAACTTTTTTAAAAATGACCGAATCAATATAATTTTTTTTTTTATAGATACCTTAGGTAATTACCTATCATTTTATATATTTTTGTGAACATTTGATCCTTTACCAGCTCACAGGAAAGGTTTCAAATGGTAACTTTTTTACAAAAAATTAACTTTTTCAACTTAACTTTTGAAAATATTCCGAAAAGACTGACACTTTTATATATACCTTAAATTAAAGATTATGTAATATACTTTATTTTGAAAAAAAAAATTTGACCTCTGGACTTGACTTCGTGGTGAAAACGGACATCAAAATTAAAGAAAAACGTACGATTTCCATGAAAAAATTGTCGATTTCATACTTTATATTATGAAATTTATATTGCTATAACTTTTGGAAAAATGTATGGATCAATATTATTATTTTTTTATAAATAATTTTTATATACCCCTTTCATCTGGCACACTTTTTTTGTAAATCTGATCATACCCTTTTAAAAAAACTAAAGATCAAACATTAAATTTAGAAGATATTAATTTTTCACCGGGTTCATCTAATGAAACTAATGTCCGGTATCAATGATCGATTTATTTTTGAAAAATTGTAAAGTTCTATTGATCATATTTTAGAATTTTTTTTAAATCAATTAAAATTATCCTACTTTAGAGAAGATTATATAGAATTTCTTGAGCTAACAGTAATTTTTTTAAATGGAGTTCCGCCTAGAGGTGTATTATTGAGAGCTCCAGGAGCGATTCACCATGCTCGATGGATGTCAAAAGCGCTTTATACTCTTAAAATATTTATTTTTTGTGAAGAATTCAAGTTGACACTAAAAGAATATAATTCAATCTTGAGTATATGTATTTTCTTGGTTAATTTATACATCACAGCTTGGTTTAATGCACCAATTGCTGCTTTTTCGCCTCGACAAGATCTAGAATTTTTAAAAAATATCTTCCAATTCAAAACCATAGATGAAGAATTATTTAAAAATAATTTGACAAAAATTGTTAACAATTTATGGTATTTAATATCAGACAACATTGCTTTAGCATTTCTTGATAAACATATTCCACACGAGACAAAAACTATAATGGCATTTCACATTAAAAGAATTGACACTGAAAATTTCTATGGGGAATAAAATTATGTCATAAAAAATAAACGCATAATTTTGGACTTCAATGAAGTATCAAACTTTATAAAAAATAAAAAAGATTTTGTGACAAGTAAAACTAATGTTTTTTGATCGACTTAATATTGATTATAGTTTTATGGAAACAGCCCATCTATATGAGAAGAAAATTCAAGTTATTGCAAAGATCAAGAAATTATCAATAATTTAAAAGTAGTGAATGATATTGCAGAGCGTGTGGTATAAATAATACACAACTGTTTTTTTTTTGCAAAAAATATGAAACATTTAATTTAAAACAACTTTTAGTCAATCATTTTTTTTTATAACACAAACGCTTCGTCATACATATAAAAATTGTGAAAATTTCAGAATTTTACTCTTAAACATATATTTGGTTGAACTTTTAACTTTTGCGAGGTAAATATTTGACTTATGACATTTTTAGTAATAACTTTTAGCGTCGATGCGAAGCTGAGAAGGTATTAATTTTACTATGATGCGTTTTTTTTTTTATTTTTATTTTTTTTGTGTCTATGAACGCTCAATCTCAGCTCTCGCTGGACCGATTTTGAAGAACAATATGTCAAAAGATTACAAATCATATCTAGTAGAAGACATNGTCAAAAGATTACAAATCGTATCTAGTAGAAGACATTAACCTCAAAAATTGAAAAAAATTCCCTCGTTCCCCGTAAACGGGGGAAATCCCCCAAAAAATTATAAATTTAAAAATCGCTAATTTTCGACATTTCTTCAATTTTTTTTACTAAAAACTGCCGTAACTTTTTCAAAAATGAACATATTAATATAATTTTTTTTTTTATAAATACCTTAGATATTTACCTATCATTTTATATATTTTTGTGATCATTTAACCCTTTAACAGCCCACAGGAAGGGTTTCCAAATAGTAACTTTTTTACAAAAAATTAACTTTTTCAACTTAACTTTTCAAAATGTTCCGGAAAGACTGACACTTTTATATATATATTAAATTAAAGCTTATGTAATATACTTTAATTTGAAAAAAAAAATTTGACTTCTGGAATTGTCTTCGTGGTGAAAACGGACTTCAAAGTTCAAGAAGAACGTACGATTTCCGTGAAAAAATTCTCGATTTTATATTTTATATTATTTAATTTATATTTTATATAACTTTTGGAAAAATGTATGGATCAATATTATTATTTTTTATAATAAATATTTATATACCCCTTTCATCTGGCACGCTTTTTTTGTAAATCGGATCATACCCCTTTAACAAGGGGGGTCAAAACTTTAAACATGTGTATTGTTACTACTAAGATATTTTCAATTTAATTTTTGAAAGTATTCCGGAAATACTGACACTTTTATATATATCTTAAATTAAAGCTTATGTAATATACTTTAATTTGAAAAAAAAAAATTTGACCTCTGGACTTGTCTTCGTGGTGAAAACGGACATCAAAGTTAAAGAAAAACGTACGATTTCCGTGAAAAAAATCTCGATTTTATATGTTATATTATTTAATTTATATTTTATATAACTTTTGGAAAAATGTATGGATCAATATTATTATTTTTTTATAATAAATATTTATATACCCCTTTCATCTGGCACGCTTTTTTTGTAAATCGGATCATACCCCTTTAACAAGGGGGGTCAAAACTTTAATCATGCGTATTGTTACTATGATATTTTCAATTTAATTTTTGAAAGTGTTCCGGAAAGACTGACACTTTTATATATATCTTAAATTAAAGCTTATGTAATATACTTTAATTTGAAAAAAAAAAAATGTGACCTCTGGATTTGTCTTCACGGTAAAAATGACTACCGTATTCAAAAATTTGCTATTTTTGTGTTAAAATTCTGGGTTTTGTATTTTATATTATTTTAAAATACCTGATAAGGGGAGTACAGATTTTTATAAATATTATATAAATAAAAAATTAATATAGCATAGAAAGTTAAACTTATTTAAATTTGTTTGCTTCTTTTAAGTCATAAAAAAGAACTTTGAAATTTGAATTAGCTTAAATGGCCATTTTTTTCAGCCAACACTATTGATGTACGGTTGCCGAGTTGGTAAAACTTATGTTTTACACGCTTGGGGTACGAGGTTCCAACCCGCGTATGGCAATGAACTT